AATTGCATTGGGAAAACCTGCTGTCAGGGCCCTCTCCAGGGTGCTGAAGAGCAATGACATCAGCCTAGAGACAAAGATCTACCTAATCTAGGCTATGGTCTTCTCAATTACTTGTTATGCTTCAGAGAGCTGGACAATGACTACAGATGACATCATTAAAAGAAGTGATGTCTTCAAGTTGTGATGCTGAAAAAGAGTCTTGAACATACCGTGGACTGCCAAGAAAACAAATCAGTCTGTTTTAGAGAAGGTGTGTTTAGACAAGTCTCTCTTTGGAGGCTAGGATTTTGAAGCTCCATCTCACGTACTTTGGGCATGTGGCCAGGAGAGACTGGTTCTTGGAGAAGGATATCATGCTTGGAAGAGTGGATGGACAGCTCAGGAGAGGAAGACCCTGGATGAGATGGATTTATATAGTAACTGGGGCAATGGAGGTTGGTGTGTGGGAGTTAGTGAGACTGGCTCAGAACAGGGAAGGGTTCAGAGCTGCTGTACATAGGGTCACATTGCAGGTGACTCAATGGCACATAACAACAATAACATACTATATTGCTTGGATTTTTTTGTTTGTTTGCTTGCTTGATTTTTTTAATTTAAGCCTCTTGTTTAGAGTCAGCAAGACCTCTGAGAGGGCCTTTGTATTTAAAAGTCAATTATTATTATTATATTTTGGAGGAACACTCTTCTAAGTGGTACAGCACTCTTCTGTCAACACTCTGTACTGAGGTAACCCGCAGTTGCTGTGATGCTGAACCTTGTGCCATCGGGGTGTCAAATGCCGTAATGGTTGCCCATGGTGGACAGTGTTTGGTGGAGCTCCCAGTTTAACACAGGTTTGGAAGCAGGAGTGGCATCTACTTCCTAAACCACATGCCTCTGGAAACTCTATGAACTTTGATAAATGATGATAGTTACAGAAAGGCTTTGAGTCTTTTGTTCATAGAGTAGCTGAGTCATGCTCGACTCAGAGGCAATCAACAAAAACAGCACAACAACCAAGTGGAGGAAGTAGGCAGTAGTTAAGCAGTGAGAAAAGGCTGCTGTCAGCATTTCTACAGCTTGAAAAATAGGGAAAATGTTGGGGAGACAAAGTAATTAGGGAGCTCTGGTGGCCTGGTGGCAGGAAGCTGCACTGCAATCCTGAAGGTATGTGGTTCAAGCCCACCAGCTGCTCTGTGGGAGAAGGATGGGCAATTTCCTCCAGTGTGATTAAATGCTTCTGAAAACCAGCAGGAGGGTCAGCAATGAGTTGGTTCTGACTCCAAGGTACACAAAAACAACAACAACATACATAATATTGACAGCACTGGCGAGGAAGACCCAGATGAGATGAACTGATACAGTAACTAGGGCAATGAGGGTAGGTGTGTCAGAGTCAGTGAGACTGGCTCAGGACAGGGCAGGGTTCAGTGGTGTTGTACATAAGGTTGCAGGTGACTCGATGACACATAACAACATACAAAAAATACATATTATATGTGTGTGTATTTATATATAGCATACCTATGCATTGCTATTGAGTCAGAACCTCCATTGGGTTTTCAGAGGATGTAAATCACAAAGGAGGAGATTGCCCAGCTTTGTTACACAGAACAGGGGGTACATCCAAACCACTTGCCTCTGGGCTTTGTTTGGGTTGGCAATGCAACTCTACCAGCTAGGCCACTAATGTTCATATCTATATCTAATCTATATCTTTATCTATATCTACATCTATGTCTACGTCTACGTCTATGTCTATGTCTATGCCTATGTCTACATCTATATCTATACCTAAATCTAAATCTAAATCTATATCTATATTTATATCTAATCTATATCTATATCTATATCTATATCTATATCTATATCTATATCTATATCTATATCTATCCATATCCATATCTATATCATCTATATCTATATC